GGGCATTCACTGCCCTATAAATGGGTTAATCTATTAACCACTATTACTCAACTCTAGGAGAACACACTTAGAAACACAGAGACACTGCAGCTTTGTAAGACGACGAACTAGTTCCTCTTGTTGACAGACAGTTAAGTGGACTCACAGACCTTCATGGCAAGCCTGAAGCTAGGTTTTTCTTTGTGTGTGTGTGTGTGTAAAGACCCAAGGTGACAGAGTAAGGGTTTCAGGGTTAAAGTGGTACCAATCAAAGCTGCATAGGTGCTATTTTAGGAATAAGCTATAATTAAGAGCGAGAGAAAAAGGCTTGAAATGTGCACTCAGTGAACTTACTCAAAACGAGTTTCCTATAATAACTTTATCTCTGCACAACTGCCATTTGTGAAAGTCACAACCACAAAACTCTGAAGGCTTTCTCTGTCGTGTGAGGACATTTGGTTATCATTAAGATGAAAATACAAGCGAACACACGCAGTTAATGTTTCCCTCTTACCCTTGCTCTTGTTAAGCTTTATCTTTCATCTCAACCTGCCTCCTCTCCGTTCCTGTCCCGGTATCTTCTAGCAAACAGCATCACTCTGATTGGCTCTGTATTGCACCAATTCTCAAACCCATGGGTTGGCACCCTGGAGGGGGTCACGAGTAGATGTACAGAATGTGCAAAAACATCAAGTTATGCCATATAATGCCTCTAATCTTCATCCCTAAGAAAAATGTGCTCTCACAAACAACGTATCAAGTAGCAAAAAAGATCTTTATAGTGTCACTATTTAGCATTAGGCACAAGACAATGTGAATATCAGAAGCTTAAGCATCACTGGCTGATCGATACGTTTGATCGATATTGTTATAGAAGGGAGGAGGTAAAAGCTACTAGTATTTTTTATTTAACACAAGGGAGACATTGTTCCTGTCGATCTACCAGCCAGCACTGGTTCTTGTTGTTGGCTTTAAGGATATATATATTTTAAAAAAAAGTATTCAGTGACATAGACATTCTTGTACAACTACATTTGTGAGGAGCTTATTTTGCCCTTAAATCTAACCTTTCATGCCTAAGTAGTTCTTCATTTAAGAGAGGTTATTTAGCTCTCATAAGGGGGAAAGTACAATTCAGGCATGCACACTCACACACTCACTAGAGATCAATATAGCCCCAGAGCAGTGTTGAGTACTGGATCTAACCCACATAATCATCTGTAATCTCTGACATCAAATCCTGCAGAGACACATTGGAGGGCTGACAACAAGCCTTCATGAGCTCAACGCATTTAATAGCCAACCCCACCTTCCCTGCGCACACACACACACACACACACACCTAAGAAAGGAGAATTGGAACCATGAAAGCGTACGTAGGTTGGGTGCACAGATAACCACAGGATGAATGGTGTCCTTTAACTTGAATCCCTTAATGTTACAGATGTCATATGGGCTACACATAACACAACGATATACTGCAGGCGAGGTAAAAAAAGAGGCTGTAACATTGTTAGTCT